GGATTATTGGTTTTTTCCTTTTTAGGAACTCTTTATATAGGGGTACCAACCCTTTCTTTGTCATGTAAGTTGCAAATACTTCTGGGTTGTCATTTTTCTTGTCACTTTTCTTTGGGTTTTATTTAATTCTGCAGAGGATTTGTTTGGTTTTTTGTTTTATAATTTTATGTGGTCAAATCTTGTCAGTACTTTATTTTATTGCATCTGGATTTTTAAAAAATTCTGATGCTCTACTGACTGAGCTTTGTGGGCTCTGCATCTGGATTTTTAGTTATGGTTAGGAAAGTTTTATTCTTTCTAAGTTATGGGGGAACTCACCCATGTTTTCTTCTAGTACTTACATAGCCGCCCCTTTTTTTTTTACATTTAAGCTTAACCGATCCATCTGCAGTTGTCCTGATGTATAGATGAGAATGGATCCTGTTTTGTCTTTCTTAACCTATTAAATTATCCTACCACTCTTAGTGAAAGATTCTTTTTCCTACTTTATGAAACTGTCATTATCATTTACTAAGTTTCAGATGCATTTTAGTCTGTTTCCATTGATACGTCTTTCTATTTATAAAGTGTCTCTACCAAGTTATTTTATTTATAGCAGTTTTATGTTTATGTCTGGTACTGTCTGGTAGATTAGCTCTCCTCATTGCTCTTTTTTTCAGGTTTTTCTTGGCTGACCTTGCTTTCCTTCCAGTTCAAATATATAGTCAACTTGCCTTATTTCAGGTTAGAAGCTTGGTGGTATTTTTTGAGACTGCATTAAATTGCTCTATTAATTTATGAATCAAAATCTTGATGCTAACATTTCCTATGTGAGAACATGAGCTAGCTTTCAGTTTCTTTAAATGTAGTTTTTGTTGTTGTTGTTGTTTTTAAAGATTTTACTTACTTATTTGACAGAGAGAGACATAGCAAGAGCAGGAACACAAGCAGGGGGAGTAGGAGAGGGAGAAGCAGGCTTCCCGCGGAGCAGGGAGCCCGATGTGGGACTCGATCGCAGGACCCTGGGATCATGGCCTGAGCACTTTCATAGTTTTCTTTATGTAGGTTTTGTTCATTTTTTGTTATAACTTCATGCCTAAATATTTTTACTTCAGCTTTTGTATTTTACAATGTTAAAGAAATACATGCATTTTCCTCACATATTTTCTTTATTTGTGATCTACCCCTATCTGCGCCCAAAGTGTCCTTTAAACTTTATTGGGTTTAGGATCCAATTAAAGATCATGCCCTTGTATTCTTTCATATTATGGACTTTTTTTTTTTAAGTCCTGGTCACATGTCTTGTTAAATAGTTTTCTTGTACTTAACTGTGCTTTAGAATCATCTGAAACTCTTTGAATATTCCTGTACTGAGACTACACTCCATACCAGTTAGGTCAGAAACTCTGGGGGTAACACCTGGCAGTGTGCAGCCATGTTGAGAATCATGATTGTAGAATGCCCCCATGTCTGTGTTGACTGATCTGTTTTTCCTCATGATTAGATTCAGAATATACATTTTTATTAGGCTCATTTATTGTATACTTATTTATTTGTTTATTTTTAATTTATTTATTTGAGAGAGAGTGCGATCAGGGTGAGAGGGAGAGGTAGAAGCAGACTCCCTGTTGAGCAGGGAGCCTGATGCGGGGCTTGATCCCGAGACTCCGGGATCATGACCCGAGCAGAAGGCAGATGCTTAACTGACTGAGCCACGCAGGTGCCCCTGTTGTATGCTTTTTATATGGTCTGACTGTAGCATTATCGGTAATACCACCAGATACCTCCACTTGAAGAGTAGATTTTCTTTTCTCTTTTCGTAAACTAATAATCTGTCAGGTGAAACTTGGAGACTGTGAACGTTCTTATTCCCAGTGACCTTTCATCCAGTGGTTGACTGTTTAGGTTGAGCACCTTTTACCGTGTTTATTGGCCATGGATCTTTTCTCTTTGAAGTCATTGTTAGGTCCTTTTCGCATTTTTCCATTAGATTGTGTTGTTCATATTGATTTTAGAAGTATTTTATATATTCTGGATATAATCTCCTTATCATTTCAGTATGTTGCCAAAATTTCCTGCTGATTTACTTTATTTATTTTATTTTATTTTTAAGATTTTATTTACTTATTTGACAGAGAGCGAGAGAGCACAAGCAGGGGGAGTAGCAGACAAAGGGAGAGGGAGAAGCAGGCTCCCCAAGGAGCAGGGAGCCTGATGCGGGGCTTGATCCCAGGACCCTGGGATCATGACCTGAGCCGAAGGCAGATGCTTAACTAACTGAGCCACCCAGGCGCCCCTGATTTGCTTTTTTTTAATTAATGGTTTCCTTTTGATTAGTAGAAGTTCTTAATTTTAATGTAATGCAATTTATTTCATTCTTTTCCTTTATGGTTAGTACTTTTGGTGTCTTGCTTAAAATTTTTTTGCTTGTCTACAGATTATGAGGATAGTTTTTTGTGTTATTTTCTGGAAGTTTTACTGATCACATTTTAACCTATAATCCATCTGGACTTGATTTTCACATATGTGAGATTGAAATCAAAATTGTTTTTTTTAATGTCCTTTTCTCACTGCCCTAATATAACACTTTTTTTTATAAACCAGGTGTCCATGCATGTCCAGTTCCTAGACTATAAATTTAGTTCCATTGATCTTTCAGTTTATTCTTTTACTGATAGCACGCTCTGTTAAATTACTCTAACTTCAGAATAAATCTTTATATACACTAGTACATCAATTTTCTACTTCATAATAAGTTCCCTCCAATTTTACAGGTAAGAATCACATAAATTTATTATCTCACAGTTTTTGTGGATCAGGTGTCTAGGACTAGGTTAGCTAGGTTCTCTTAGGCATTATGCAGTCAAGGTGTTGCCTGGCTCTCCTTATCTAGGGCTTGGTTGGGTTCCCATTTATACATATGTGGCAGAAATTATTTCTGCACAGCTGTAGAACTCACAGTAGCTTGCTGCTTCTTTGAGGTCAGTAGAAGATTCTCTGATATTTTACGTTCTTTAAAAGACTCACATGATTAGGTCAGGCCCACCCAAGTCAGTCTCCTTTTTAGACCGAAGTCAGCTGATTAAGGGATATTAATTATACTTGCAAAATCTATTTTGCCATAAAATGTAACATAATCACAGGGACTTAAGTCTCTTCCACTTCAGAGGAGTTTATATCAAGGTTGGATCCATTGGAGTTAATCTGAGATTCTGCCTACCATAATTAGTGTGAGTTTATTCATTCTGTTCTCCAAGATGGCTTTGGTTATTCTTGGCCATTTAAGTTTCTATGTAAGTTTGAGAATCAACTTACCATTTTCCACAAAAATATCTGCTAAGATTTTAATTCTGATTGTCTTGAATTTATAGGCCGATTTGTGGAGAAATGAAATTTTTTGTAATATTGTCCAAACCATGAATATAGTACATTTCTTTATTTATTTAGGTATTCTTTGTTTTTTTTCTCAATAATACTTTATACATTTCTGGATAATAGTCTATTCTTTTTCCTATTAACAAATTTTTACTATATGGCATGAGTATTGATTAGCTGTTTGGTTTGATAACCTGAGAATGGTATGTCTCTGTGTCTGCTTGCAATATTTTCCACAGTGGTCATCTCATAAGTGGGTAGTATAAAACCTAGGAACTGTACAAGACAGTCTGTTCAGTTATGGGAAGAAAATATTCAGGTGTCTCCCTAGGTTTATTTTAATCCATAAAAAGAAGAGTGAAGAAACCTAACATACAGTGAAATGGATATAGATAGTAATATTGTACTATAATATATAATGTGATAAATATAGCTACATTGGCAATCATTATATAAGCATATCAGAGTTACACAATGTTACATGCCAAGTTTATTCAGTTGAAAAAAATAAAAGTGACTTAGGAAAAATAATAATAACAAAGCAATTTAATATATAGATTGACATTATAAGTTTACTATTTATAAAAAAAGGTTTCCTAGATGGAACAGTAACCAACCATTTTGGATACCCCTATCCTACAGGAGTTATGTCCAGAATTACTCAATAACATATTCCCTAAAGACTACTATAGTTCTTTATGTGAACATAGTCCCAACAGTACTTTCCTCTGTGTTCACTTACTCCTTTAACTACATATTTTTTTTAAAAGATTTTATGTATTTGACACAGAGAGCACACACAGACAGCAGGAGCGGGAGAGGGAGAAGCAGACTCCCTGCTGAGCAGGGAGCCTGATGTGGGGCTCGATCCCAGGACTCTGAGATCATGACCTGAGCCGAAGGCAGACACTTAACTGCCTGAGCCACCCAGGCACCCCTTAACTACATATTTTATTTTATTTTATTTTTTTAAAGATTTTATTTATTTATTTGACAGAGAGAGAGAGAGACAGCGAGAGAGGGAACACAAGCAGGGGCAGTGGGAGAGGGAGAAGCTGGCTTCCTGTGGAGCAGGGAGCCCGATGCGGGGCTTGATCCAGGACCCTGGGATCATGACCTGAGTCGAAGGCAGACGCTTAACGACTGAGCCACCCAGGCGCCCCTTAACTACATATTTTAGATGTGTACGTGGTTATGCTGTTGCCCCAGGTTCATGAATGATACTCTGTTATCAGTGAAACCCACCCTAATAGCAGGAATAGAACTTTTCTCCCCTCTGTAACCTCACTCTACTTTGCACATGTTTTTACTGTAGTAGAATGGTATGCTACATGGTAGTTGGATGCTTAATGTTTCTGTTTGTCAGATTATATGCTCCTTGAGAACAGTGACCTGGTTTTATTGGTTTTCAGATTCTCAAGGTTGGAGAGTTCTTTATGGCATGTAGGCACATGATGAGACATCAGTAACTTATCACAGTGGTGAGGAATGTCTATCATGCTTTCTCCTCCAACCAAGTACAAAAGTAGATGTGCCAGAACACATTTTCTAATTGTGAACAGTAAACTCCATAACAATTCTCCGACAGCTTTTCCATGTCTTCCAATTGTGATTACTTACATTTGAACACAAATGTGCTGTTTCAGGGATCCTTCTCATTTGAGGATGTGACTGTGGGCTTTACCCAGGAGGAGTGGCAGCATCTGGGCCCTGCTCAGAGGATCCTGTACAGGGATGTGATGCTGGAGAACTACAGCCACCTTGTCTCAGTGGGTAGGGATTGTTTTCCATGTAGACTCCTAGTGTGCACTTCCTTTCTTGGTTTGACACCTGTAGAAGCTTTGTTGAGTTTAATGATACTTAGGCTTGAGATTCAAGTATTAAGCAGAAGGATTATTGAAACACCAATAAAGAATGTTTTCTTCTTCAATGAAACGTTGTAATTGGCCCCTGAAGATTCATTTTCTGTCTTCTTCAAGGGCCCTGAATCCTATGAGCCTAGCCCAATTCCCATGTCTTTTCCCAATTACAGGGTGTTGCATCCCTAAACCAGAAGTGATCTTGAAGTTGGAGCAAGGAGAGCAGCCATGGATACTAGAGGAAGAGTCCCCAAGCCAGAGCTACCCAGGTGAGTTAGTACGTATTAAGCAGATGGACACCAGGTGACATGGTATGAGTTGTTTTTAATCTCAAGTGTTTGTTTATATGTTCATTTTCACATTAAACAAATACTGAGGACCTGCTGTGCCTCACTCAGGTTTTAGGTGCTGAAACACATCAGCGAACTAAATTTGTTCCTGACCTCGTGGAGCTTACGTTCCGATAGGGAAAGATAAGAAATAAACAAGAGCACATACGTACACATACTGTACACATAATATGTCAATAAAATAGCAAGGAAGTTATAGATTGAAAATAGTGAAATGTAATACTTGAGAAAAGGAAGTTCAGGAAGGCATTTTGAGGATATCAACTTGAATGAAATGAGGGTGAACATCATGGGGAGTCTTGATGGCAGAGGTGACACTAAATGTCAGTCCACCAAGTCAGGAATGTACTTTGTGTTTTTGAGGATACATAAGTATCAGTGTGGATTCGGGGAGAGGAGTGAGCAGAAAGTGGTAAGAGTTGGCATTGTAGAGGTAATGGAGCTCAAATTACGTAGGGCCATTTGGGGTATGATAAAGACTTTGATTTTATTCTGAGTGAAGTGAGAAGCCATTTGTATAATTTTATCTAATATAAGTGACATGCTTATTTATCTTTTAAATTTTCTCTCTGGCTGCTGGGCAAAGAAAATACTATTGGGGCAGAGGAATGAAAGTTAGACCATCAGGATGGTATTTCAGTCTATGAAAAGGTGATAATTGCTTACCCTTGGTTGGAAGTGGTGAAGAAGATTAAAAGTGATTGGCTTCTGGATCTGTTTTGAAGATAGGACCTCTAAGATCTGCTTTGAGTTGGATAAGGAATGTGAGAGAAAGAAAGCAGTCAAGAACAACTCCAAGGATTTCATCCAGAGCAGTCAGATGAATGGGGACCAGTTCCCAAGATGCGGGATACTGGAAAGAAACGGTTTTAGAGCGGTCATTAGGAGTTTAGATTGCACATACCAAATTTCAGGTGATTATAAAATACACAGGTTTACAGGGGAATAAGTAAGTATTTGGCTGTATGAGCAGAGGTAATTTAGGGAAGACCCCAGGTTGGAGATATTTATTTGGAAATTATCAACTTATTGTAGTATTTAACGTTTTTAAATTTAGTATTTGAGGCTAAGGGATCAGGTAACCACCTCTCCTTAAAGTTAAGAGTGAACAGATTTGAGAGGTCTGAAGGTTCAGAAGTCATGAAAATGAGAAGACTCAGCAAAGAGAGAAGAAGCAGTTTGGGGTTAAGGTGGAAACAGAAAATGTGGTGTCCTGTAGCCAAGTTAAGACAGTTTGCAAAGACAAAATGAACTTCTTGAGAAGAATATATAAAGTCAGCATTTTCTTTCTCTGCCCACAAATCATCCAGAAGCATTAAGGAAAGTGAGCAAGACAAGCTTCATTATATGACACCAGTGGATATCTGAAATCCCAAATAAGTACAAGTGTAAATGCAGCAAAGCTGATGAAAGGATCAAAGAGTGTATATATCAGCAGGTGGGTAGAAAACAAAAGCATTTCTGATGCTCACCGGGACTGGCAGCGCACTTTTCATGAACAGAGTACGTCCTCTGAGGCATGAAACCTAAAACTTTGATGAACAACAGTGCCGTGAACTAGATGCCTGAGTTCCCTTCGTGACAGTTTGGTTCTGCAAAGCAGACGTAGTAAAGTGTAGAAGCACAAACTGTATTTTTCAGTTTCTGAACTATTTTCTCTGTTTCTGTGACGGTGTAAGAGAGACTGTACATGAGGGAAAACCACTTAACAGACACCTAAATGTGTAGAAATAATCTTATATGCTATCTTAGTGGGTACTCCTAGGACAGAGAATTTGAAGCAAAAACGTACTTGATAACCGTTGGTCAGGATGTACAGACCTTCTACAAAAATGAGAGAAGCGGGGGTGGGGGGTTAAGGCTGATTAGAAGGAAGGGATGGCTCCAGGGGGTGATTACCTCATTATCTATAGCTCTGTCATTAGCACCTCTGATTGCTCAGAGTACCAGCACCTTTTCTGAGTCTTAATGTGAACCGGTGTGTGCCGGAGCAGCATGTCAGAGGGTGGAAGGGAAAAGCATAGTATCTTTTGTCTTGTTCCTCTCTCGTGAGATGAAACTGTTCTGTAGAGTTTTAACTCCCTCTCTTTTCTGGATTGCAGCAGTTTGTCTAGGCAGATGCTGGGGAAATCGGAGCCTCCATGGGCCCAGTTCAGCCTCTTGGGCTTGTAGTTTCTGTGAAGTCAGCTCAACACTTGGTTTTCCTCAATTTGGAGCTGCAGCAACACCAGCCCCAGTGACCTGACTCAGTTATTACCAGGAGAGCAAGCCCTTGCCGAAGCTACTCTGGCGAGGAAGGAAGGCACATCCTGGTTGATCTATAAACTGAGACCAGCACATGTGCAAAACACTTGTTCATAATGAATTATCTCACTAGCCTAAGACATGACTCTGTTCCCTCTCCCAAGTAATCCTTTTGCAGTGTGCTGTTCCTTAAAAAGCTCACATCCTTTGAGCCCAAGTAATGGAAAAGGAACCAGCACAAAATGCATAAAAAACTATTGAAAGAAAAAGGGGGTGAAAAAGATCGGAAGAAAGCTAGTTGGTGATAGAATTGTTATCTGATCAGAGTAGTCATAAAGTAGATAAATAATGTGACCAAATATTAAACCATGAATTTCCAAAGGGTGAACTAATTGAATTAATTATCTCTGTGTTACAAGAATTTAAGAAAGATATTAATGAGGGAATAGTAGCAAACACATGGTGGGTGTCAAATTCAGAAAAGAGAACAGAAAATATAATCACAATAAAGAAGGCAAATTGGAGGAATCCCAAGGAAGAATAGGTACTGTCAAAATTCTGTTCAGAAAGAAATGTAAGCAAGAAGAAAATGAAATAAATTTTGAAGATGACATTAAAAAGAGAGTTCACAAACATACCATACAGAGAATTCATTCCCCAAAATAGAAAGGAAAAGAAGTAGAATATTTAAAATATTTCAAGAACACTTTTTGTGGGGGAAGAGATATATGATTGAATCTACATAAAAGAGCCAGTCAGTCCTCGTCAACATTAGGATATATTCTAATAAAGGCACTAGATTTCAAAAAACAATCATTTTGACAACTGGCCAATAAAAGAGAAAGTCCAAATAGCCTCAGACTTTTCCACAGTAAAATCTGTAGCTAAGAGTCAGAAGAGCAGTTTCTACAAAATCCTCAAGGTGTCACATTGAGAATATTATGCCCAGTTAAGATATTCTTTAACAAGGATAGCACATCTTTTCTGAATAGACAAGAACTCTAGGGTCTTTGTTCCTAGAAGCCTCTACTAGAGAATGAATATCAGGTAACCAAGGAATGACATAAAAAAAAGATGGCGAAAAGGCTGGTAGTGGGCTCTGAATTTAACTGAAGAACTAATTTTGTTTTTTAATTTTTTTAAAGATTTATCTGAGAGAGAGTGAGCATGGTGGGAAGAGGGAGAGAGAAATAAGCAGACCCCACGCTGAGCGTGGAGGCTGATGAAAGGCCTGATCTCACAACCCTGAGATCACGACGAGAGCCAAAACCAAGAGTCAGACAGTCAACCGACTGTGCCACCCTGGTGCCCCCAAAGAACTAATTTTAAAGCACATGTGGGAGCTACATGATAGAAGAGAGTGTACCAGTTGCAAATCTGGGCAACACAGAAAGGCTACGTATCTATATAGATAAGAGGAAGCCAAAAATAAATGGAGAAGAAAGAAGGAATACAAATAGAGTGAATTGTTATAACATGATGTGTGTATTCCTAAAAAAAAAAAAAAAAAAATCACTGCTCCATATAAAATAGTGTACTGAAAATCATAGGGCTAATGGGAAAATATCCCCAAAAGCTTTGTCAGTGAAACAATGAGAGGCAGTGTTGGAAGTCTGCAGCTATAATTTTGTGGTTATTTCTCCTTTCGGTTCTGTTGGTTTTTGCTTTATCAATTTAAAGAATTATTAAGTGAATAAATATTAGGATCTTTATGTCCTCTTGATGAATTGACTCCTTTATGATGATGTCTTTATTTCTAGTAGAACTTTTTTGTTCTGAAGCCTACTTTGATATTAATACAGCTAGTCCACAAATCCTAGCTAAACCATTTATTGGCTTAGACAAGTCACTTAACCTTTTTGAGCCTGTTTCCTCATTGTAAATTTAGATAATAAGACCTTTGTCACAATATTTGTGAGCATTAGATGAGGCAGGATATAAATACACAGTGCCTTGCTAAAAATAGGCTTTCGGGACATGTATACTTTTAACCAACATTTAACTGATGCCCTCCTAAAACCTCGGGATACGTCAATGAATAAGAAAGTCAAGCACTCTGCTTTTGTGGAGCTTAGATTCAGGAGGGAGGTGTAGAGGTAAGGACCACAGAGGAAGAAAGGATGCGAATAAATTAATCTTACAATTTCAGGTCATGCTGAATGCTGTGAAGGGTTTTAAAGACAGGAAGATGAGATGATGTGATGGGGGATAAGTGGACTGTTTCAGCCAAGTGACCAAGGGAGCCTCTTCAAGATTATATTTGAAAAGAACCTAAATTATATGAAAAATCTCGACAGCAAAGACCTGAGAGAAGAGCATTCCTGAGAGAGGCAGGAAGGCCCTGGGTGGGAACACACTAGACTCATTCAGTCAATAGCAAGATGGCTAGTGTGTTTCTAGCATGGCAAGCACAGTGAGCAACGGCATGAAATACAGTTGGAGACATCAGCATAAGCTTGATCTTGAAGTTCTAGGCCATGCTGCAAAATTTGAATTTCGTTTAAAAAAAAATGGTCTGTTGCAGTTTTTAGTAGTGAGAGAGACTATAATATAGCAAAAAAAAAAAAAAAAATTTTTTTTTTTTTTTTTAATCTTTGCCCGTGATTCCTGGCACACAGTTCCGAAAACCCTTGGATTCCCTGGCGTGAAAAGAGTGTCTTTTGTATACTGAGGTAACTTGGTGGCTGGGGGCTGCTAGATCACTTAAGTCCTGGGGGTGGCCACCAGCAGTGGCCAGGGATTTAATCAATCGAGCCTAGGTAATGAAACCTCCATAAGAGCCTCTAAACAATAGACTGAGGGGAGCTTTGAGTGGTGTGCCCAAGAGAGGGCACGGGAGTTCCACACACCACACACATCCCCAAACTTTGCCTATATATCTCTACTATTTGGCTGTTCTAGAGTGGAATCCTTTATAATAAACTGGTAATATATAAGTAAATTGTTTTTCTGGGTTTTGTGAGCTGTTCTAGTGAATTATCAAATCTGAGGTGGGATGGCTAGTCATGGGAATCTATAGTTTATAGTCAGAAGTCCTGGAGGCAAAAAAAGAAAAAGCATAAATAGTCCCTTCAGCTTTTTTGTAATGTCTACATGGTATATCTTTTGCCACCTTTTTACTTTTAATCTGTTTATATTTAGAGTGGATTTCCTACAGATAACATGGTTGCATCTTTTTTAACTAATGTGGAAACCTTATTTTTTAACGGGAATATTTTAACCACCTAAGTGGTTGCCCTATGGAATACGGTATCTTCAGTTTATCACAGTCTGATTTCAAACGACGTCATACTGTTTTATATGAGGCTGTGCAGTGTTATGACAATACACTTCAGTTCCTCCCTCCCTTTCTATGTGGTATTTTACTTCAAACCCCACAAGGCAGCAGTTCTTTCTGCCTACAGGTCTTCATTTGTGCAGGATGTTTTTTCTAGTTATGGAAATCTGGATCGACGCTCTTTTCTGTCCATACTTGATTCACTTCACTGTCTTCTGGGTTACATACTTACTTCCTCCTCTGATTTTTAAATCTTTGTTCTTCTGTATTTATATTCTGTTTTCTCTTATTGCCTTCAAGATTTTCTTTTCATCTTTGGTTTTCAGCTGTTCAATTCTGATGTTTCCAGGTTTACCTTTGATTTGTTTTTGGGGGGTTTACCGGGTATTTTTCTTGGTTACCTAAATGTGTGGTTTGATGTATTTCATCCTTTTTCTTGGGACTCCAGTTACTTAATGTGTGGCTGTATTTGATACTGTTCCCTAGTTCTTGGGTCTGTCATGTGAGGAGAATTTCCTCAGTGTCTTGTGCTCCTTTTTCAGCTTTGGCCTGCCCATCCAAGCCTGTGTCATAGAGGGTTTATCTCTTTACTCGTATTTCTCTTCCAGCAGTCGACTGAGCTCATGCTGTTTCAATGAGAAATAAAGCCAGCCACCAGCTAACAGTGATAAAGATTTTATTCAGTAGCTGTTGGAATAGGTGAGAAGTTTCAGTAAAGCTGAACTCAACTCCAAATACTGCTACGACAGCTAGGGACTTGCAGAGTCGGGGGAATCACTGGATAGAAGATTACTAAGAGAAACATCAACTGTAGGGGGATTCCTGCTGCATGCAGACCAGGCACTAATACATCAGGGGCGGGGTATAAGGAACTTGATCAGATATCAAGGGTGAGGGGATTGTCACTAGACCGACTTAAAAGATTCTTGCTAAAACTGAGCTCAGCCCGGATAGACCTGGAAGACCTAGTCAAGGCCTAGTTGAGAATAGGGCTCAGAGGACACTAACTGGGGTTTAGTCAACAGGAGAGTTCGTGTCAGAGTGGATCATAAAATTTGGGTTGGTAATGAAATAAATTATAGAAGCCATACCTTTAATTATGTAATTTCATTGTAAAATTCTAATGGAAATACTACAGGAAAAGAGAAAATGAAACCCAAAAGAATGCTTGAGGTGAGAGAAGGAGTGGTAAGTGGTAAGAGATGACAAGAGATAGAGGTAAATCTGAACAATAGGTATATAAAGTGATATGATGCTAATGTGTAGGGCTAAAAAACCATGTACACAAAGCAATAACTGCATATAAATGAGGTGAGAGGTGATCAAATTGAGTTTGATGCTTCTGTTCTTCAGAAAAAGAGGTGTAAGATACTGAATTCCTCCAGATTTTAAGTTAAATATTCATGGTATGATGTGATGGATAGCCACCTAAAGCTGAGAAACAGGTGTGTATAACTTCTAAAGTTGTAAAGAAGAAAAAATGGAAAAGATACGAAATTATTTCAAAAAGAAGGAAGAAAAGTACAATAGAATCGGTAGTAAAATTGTGACAAATACAAAGTGCCAACTAAAATGTGAGAGACGACTTGAATTTTTTTCAGTAATCATAAATGGAAACAGACTACATTTACCTGTTAAAGTGCAAAGTGTCAAATTGGATCTTCAAAATATAATAATACCTTGCTATAGCTAAGATAATAGGTTTTCATTTATTCTGCTAACTACATGTTATATTTTTAGCATCTTTTACCCACTTGACGTTCAGTGTTATATACCTGCCCATATACAGAATATACAGGATATCCCCCCTTCAATGTGGCAAGAAGTAATATCACAATTAGCATTCACAAATCATAAATTTTACCCGCTTCATTTGTTACCTTTTATGAGTCTTCTCTTGTAACTGTCTTAGTATCATTTTATTTTTCTGTCTTCTTTTCTTACTAGTGTTAGATCACTATTGTTTTATTTTTGTAAACTTTAAAAAATTCTTTTTATAGCGTCTCCTGGGCGGCTCAGTTGGTTAAGCATCTGCCTTCGGCTCAGGTGATCCCAGGGTCCTGGGATCGAGTCCCACATTAGGCTCCTTGCTCAGCAGGGAGCCTGCTTCTCACTCTGCCTGCTGCTTCCCCTGCTATGCTTTCTCTCTCTCTCTCTCTCTCTCTCTCTCTCTCTCTCTCTCTCTGGCAAATAAATAAATTAAAAAAAATTCTTTTCATATTCTCACTTTGCACTGATACCACCCAAAACACTTGGGCATTCTGTTTTACTCTTTGTTCTAATTCCTAAATGCACTTACACTTTGCCACACAAACCGTCTAATTTATCATGTTAATATCTTGAGTTGTGTTTTCCCCAATATGTAATTAGCAAATTTATGTTTTTCTCATTTAATGATCCTTAATATTTTTTTACCTTTTTTTTAAGATTTATTTATTTATTAAGAGCAAACACACATGAGTGGGGGGGGTGCAGCAGAAGAGGGAGAGAGAGAATCTCAAGCAGACTCTGCTGAGCATGGAGCCCTAAGCAGGGCTCAATCTCATAGCCGTGAGATCACAACCTGAGCTGAATCCCAAGAGTCGGACACTTAACCAACAGCCACCCAGGTGCTCCAGTGACCCTTAAATATGACTACATCTCATCTCTGTGGCACAGAACTGGTGCTAAACTCCCATTTACTCCTTATTCCTAGGATTGCCCACAGATATGCTTTCCTGCCATACAAGTCCACATTTCATTCCTAACATACTTGGGGATTCTTGTGAATTAATACATGAAAAGTACATGGAGCAGTGCTTGGCGTATGGTAATGGTTACTTTTCCTGTTAACTTTTCCTATTGTTAACAGCATTGTCTTTGTTTTTAAGCACATTTTTTAAATTTAAGCTCAGCTTTCGTAAAATGTTCCTTCCTTGCTTTGATTTACATTATCTAGTATGTAATCTGATTCCTGATAGTGTATGGATGTTGAATGAAGAAGCTATTACTGGATTATAATTTCTTCAAAGACAGCATATCTTTATTTTGTCGTATAATATATAATGGGTATTGGATCATTACTTAATTCATTAACTGTGCCTCTTGATGAGTGAGAGAACCTTTATATTCAGAAAATACTACAAGGAATTTCTAAATGCACATGTTGGGTTATAAACGTGTAGATTCTTATTTTTAAGATTTTATTTACTTATTTGACAGAGAGCACAAGCAGGGGGAGCAGTGGGGAGAGGGAGAAGGAGAAGCAGGCCCCCTGCCCAGCAGGGAGCCCAACGTGGGGCTCGATCCCAGGACCCTGGGATCACGACGTGAGGTGAAGGCAGACGCTTAACAACTCAGCCACCCAGGTGCCCCAAACCTGTAGATTCTTGTTCAATATTACAGATTTGTAGAAAACTTGGACTTTGTTTTGAAAAAGCACACCACTTGTTGTGTGCTTTCATGTCCACTCAGATGTATTCATAGGAAATCTTTCATGTCCACTCAGATGTATTCATAGGAAATCAGATTTAAATACTTGTGACACCATAGGTTGTAGTTGGGAAAAGAAAAAAGACTACTGAGTATTTCAAATTTCAACAGTTAACAGGGTATGTTTATGTTTAAAGGGGGTATTATCCAACATTCTGATAGAATGAGATGTATAGAATGTGATTAATTTTAAATTTCAATGTAAGTAGGACTCGAAATGGTAGAGATGTTTGTGAAGACTTATAATGAGACAGTGTCATTTTCCTAAAGAGTGAAGGTCTGAGCAAATCCAAAATGGGAATGTAAACCAGCTGAGTGAAAAGTCTTGGTTGAACTTGAATGATTTTTGGCAAATTAATAGTCTGGCATTTCTAGAAAGAAGACATTTATTATGGACTAGTGAAGTGATCACTTGAGTACCTAATATGTATGTGGTTGGGGACAAATCCCGCCCCCCCGAAATTATAACTGCGGTGTGTTTGCTTCTAATGGTGCTTGGAGACAATGGGCTTTGAATAGGTTTTTGGTTTTTTTTTTTTAAGATTTTATTTACTTGACACGGAGAGAGATAGCGAGAGCAGGAACACAAGCAGGGGGAGTGGGAGAGGGAGAAGCAGGCTTCCCGCCAAGCAGGGAGCCTGATGCGGGGCTCGATCCCAGGACCTTGGGATTATGACCTGACCTGAAGGCAGATCCTTAACGACTGAGTCACCCAGGCACCCTGAATAGGTTTTTAAATAGGGTCATCATTGTTATGTTGTATGTACTGAGCAAGAAGGTAACGTGAAGTATAGCTGAGAATTCTTAGGGTAAATAAATATGTCATTGAATGTTTTAGGTCAGGTCTTCCATGGTTATAAATGAAACCACGAAATGTAGAAATCCGGGTGTAAAAGAAAAAATTATTAATATTATGTCAGAGCAGGTTTATAGTGGGGAAAAATTAGCATCTGGTGGTAGCATATCTGACAAAATAAGTTTGAATATACCACAACTAAAACAACTGATGGGTTTGATTATCTTTCAGTCTTGTTCTCATCTTTTTGATTTTCCTGGTGGACATTTATATTTTTTATAAGTAACACAAGTAGAGGGAAAATTAGAAACCATATTACAGGACTCTATTCACAAGCACAAAGAAATCCGTGCTTTCAGAAATTTAATTTGATATTAACAATGTACTAAATGTATAACAAAACAAGTACTTTTAAAAGGAGGAGAATGAAACTGTAAACATGGAAAGTGTAGAGAGAATTTAGCTGCACTAATGTAAGTATGAGGAATATTATGTAAAGTCTGATCCTTCAAAATATCAAATTGTTCCTCTATTTCTTTCGGGCACTCTTATCTACTAAGTTTCATGGCCTCTCTAGTTCTCTGCATTTCCCCTTCCTAGATGAGCCATTTTTTTTCCAAGTCTGTTTTCTTCACCATGCTTTTTATTTATTTCTAATGTATATATTAAGTCTTGAAATATGTATTTGAAAATTGCCAAATGTAGATGTGTGTGTTCTAAGTTTCTATCCCCCTTTTCCACCGTGTCAGGTTTTATTTTTTTTAATCCGAAGGATGGGGCAATATGACTATTTGGGTCACTCTTATTTCACAAAACGAAGTCAGTGATGTAAATGGCATTTGTTTTAAGTGTAATTTCATCATAATTATGATACGATTCATGGCTTATGGTTTGTTTTTCTCACTTCTAGAAGTCTGCAAAGTTGATAACCAACTAGAAAAGAATCAAGAAACCCAGGACAGACATTTTTGTCAAGCCCCGTTTATCAACAACAAAACACTGACTATGCACAGAGGTAATGTATTAGGAAGCATTTTTAATTTCAGCACAGACACAGTTCCTTCCATAAAAATACCCTGTAGGTGTGACTCGTGTGATATGAATTTGAAATGTATTTCAGAATTAATTATTAATAAGAAAAACTCTTTAAGTAAGAAGCCTGTTAACCTCAATACATATGGGAAATTGTTCCTTCATATTAACCATGAACAAACTCAAATGGGAGAGAAACCTTGTGAATTCATTCAAAATGGAAAATACCTCAGTCATAATGAAGATTTCATCCCATATCAGAGAATTAAAAATATAGAGCAATCCTTTATTCAAAGCGATAAGGAATACAAGGAATGTTGGCAAGCTTTCCATGAGAAGGCAGTTGTCATTCCATATAACCAAGCTCACATAGACCAGAGTCCTTGTGAACATAATGAATCTGATAAAACTTTCTGTAATGATTCAGCCCTCATGGTCCGTAAGATGGCACAAAGAACAGAAAATCCTTGTGAGTTTCATGAATATGCTAAAACTTTTGAGAAGTCATCTCTCTTGGAACACAGAGTTCATGTAGAGGTGAAAGGTTATGAGTATATTGAAAGAGTGGATAATTTCAATGGGAGATCAGACTTCCCTGACACAGGAGAGAGAATATTTGAATATAACAACTTGGGAGAACCCTTCTGGGAGAAGTCAGTTCTGAATGTAACTCAGAGAACACACATAGGAGACAAGGTCTGTGAATGTAATGAATGTGCAAAAACATTCTGCAAAAAGTCAAAACTCACCAAACATCAGAAAATACATACAAGAGAGAAACCCTATGAATGTAAGGAATGTGGGAAATGCTTCTCTCGGAAATCTCTCCTCACTTTACATCAGCGAATCCACACAGGAGAGAAACCATACAAATGTAAGGAGTGTGGGAAATGCTTCTCTAGAAGTTCACACCTCATAATTCATCAGAGAACTCACACAGGAGAGAAACCCTATGAATGTAAGGAATGTAGAAAAAGCTTCTACCATAAGTCATATCTCACAGTACACCAGAGAATTCACACAGGGGAGAAGCCCTATGAATGTAATCAGTGTGGAAAAACCTTCATAAGCAACTCAGTCCTCACAATACATCAGAAAACACACACAGGTGAGAAACCCTATGAGTGTAATCAATGTGGAAAATTCTTCTCTAGAAACTCCTACCTTACAGTACATCTGAGAACTCACACAGGGGAGAAACCCTATGAATGTGAGATATGTGGAAAAACTTTTTGTCACAAGTCAGATGTCACTAAACATGAGAAAACTCACATAGGGGGAAAACCCTATGGATGTAATCAGTGCGGAAAAACCTTTAGTCGCAACTCAGGTCTAAAAGTACATCAGAGAACTCACACAAAGGAGAAGCCATATGAATGTAGTGAGTGTGGGAAATCCTTTTCTGAGAAATCAGTCCTCACAGTACATCAGAGGATACACACAGGGGAAAAACCTTATAAGTGTAATGAATGTGGAAAAACCTTCTACAATAAATCAGACCTCACTAAACACCACAGAACTCACACAGGTGAAAAACCTTATGAATGTAAGGAATGTGGGAAATTCTTCTCTAGGAATTCATACCTTACAGTACACCAGCGAACTCATACAGGAGAGAAGCCCTATGTGTGTAAAAAATGTGGGAAGACTTTTTGCCATAAGTCAGATTATACAATACATAAACGAACACACAGAGGGGAAAAATCGTATCACTGTAATCAGTGTGGGAAGACCTTTACTTGCAGTTCAGTCCTCAGATCACATCAGAGAACTCACACAGGTGAGAAGCCCTATGAATGTAATGAGTGTGGGAAGTCATTTTCTGAGAAATCCATTCTCACCGTACATCAGAGAATACACACAGGGGAGAAACCTTATGAGTGTAACGAATGTGGGAAGTCCTTCTATCATAAGTCAGATCTCACTAAGCATCAGAGAACACACACAGGAGAGAAACCCTATAAATGTAATCATTGTGGGAAAACCTTCAGTTGTAACTCAGGCCTCAAAGTACATCAGAGAAGACACATAAGAGAGAAGCCCTATGAATGTATTGAGAGTGAGAAAACCTCCAAGAAAACAGTTATCACAGTACATCCAAGGTTACACACAGGGGAAGAAAATTTCTAAACACAGCAGTGAGAGAAATCTTTCTCTTGTGATTCATACCTCAAAATACCACAGAAAATTCACAAAAGACCTGACCCCTATGAATGTAAAGAATGGCAAATCTTTTACCGTAAGTCATCTTCCAAAGTAAAGAAGAGAATATTTATAGTGGCAAATACTCTGAATTTGGTGAATGTTTAAAAATCTGTTGTAAGTAAGACAACTAAAAGTGACTGTTTGTAGAAGAAACCCTATTAATGCGTGTAGGAAATATGGGGAATTATTTTTATTATGAAGTAGAGCTTATTAAACAAAGAACTTACATAGGAGATAATCCTGTCAATCAAACAAATGAGTGAAAATGTTCTTCCAGAATTTGGCCAGAAATAACAATCAGACCACCCTTGGGAAAAAGTGTCAACATCTTGTATTTTTTTGAGACCTTCATAACACAAGTTGTATTCAATGTATGTCAGGGAAATAATAGGGAAAATACCCAAAGAATGCAGCAAATGTGGTTGAGCCTTTATCAAGAAATGCCATTTTGTTGAGCAAGACAATTGATATTGGAGGAAGTCATAAAGATGTTTTGAATGCAGACTGTAACAAAATTCAGACTTTATTATATCTGAAGATTGTATTGAAGGAAGAATGTCTCTAGGTAATATAGACAGAAATTTTCCTTTAGATATATTATTCTTAAAGTTATGTTTTTCTCTGATCTCAAATTTTTTAATAGAAACAAAGCTGAAAATAGACATTTTTAAAAACATTAACTGGAATGCAAAGCTTTTTGAAAAGAACAAATAAACTGAATAATCTTTTCAGACTCTGATTTCACTTCGGGAGAAACACATGACACCCCATGGCCCTCCCTAGCATGAGCCATCATAGGTTTTTGATTAGTCTGTCCCCAGACTATGCTGTTACCTCTGCGAATAATGCTTGATGGTCTGGTTCATCCTGGGGTCTAGTTCTCCCCATGGACTAGATTCATACCAGAATGTACACTGCCACCAGCCAGGGACAGTCTGGAGGACGTATCTGCTTCCTCTTTGTAGGTTCAGGAACCAGAAGAAACATTGAGTGTGTTAATGAAAGTAGAGTACTGTAGGGCATATGACCTTTGTGTCCCAATTGAAATTTCCAGGAAGCTCATCATAGCTCAGCTTTCTTGAATTCAGGCCTGTTGACCCAGTGATAGCCCACCTTTCCAGGGGGTGTGTCCAGTTATGAGGAATATCATAACCATTGCTGTGTCTGCTGCAGGTTGGAAGTAATGTACAAGAATAGTTGAAGTATCTGCATACCATCCTCAAATCCATTCCATATCCTGTAACTTCTACCACCTTCAGCACTTTTCTAAATTTGGTTAATATTGATCTCACATCTCATTACTTTTACAGTAATATTTTACATATATTTCTGTGTGTGTGTGTGTCTAACATTGTTTTCCTTGTATATCAGTGGGAACACGTGTTTTGCAACTTGCTTTTGTCTTCAGGTGCATGGTTTTGATATTTACACATATTGACATACTTAGCTATAGTTGATGCGTTTTAATAAAGCATGATATATGAATATAACAATATTGTCTATTTTCCTGTTTATGATTTTCAAAATTTTAAGAGCTTTGTTATTAAAATAACATTTCCAAATTTTTAAAAATCAACTCTGGGCAATAATTTAAATATGGTTAATTCTACCGACTCAAATTTTAATAAGAGTATACTCATACATATGACTCCTACAGTTTAGAGACAACCCATCACCCAGAAGGGTTTCTCATTCCCCTTTCCCAGTCACTCCTGGGACTCGCCCCCCACCATGGCCCCTGGCAACCAATAATCTGCTTTCAGTAACGAGGTTAGACTGACTTTTTAAAATATCATTTCACATAAATGGAGATATCTAAGATGTCTCTTCCTTGTCTTTTATTCAGCATGATTTTGAGATGTATACATGTTTTAGCATCTGTCAGTAACTCCTTTGTTTTTTATTAAGTCATATTTTATTGGATGCTTAATTACAGTTTATCCATTCTCTTTCCAGTTTTTGGTTGTTATGAACATAGCTGCAGTGAACTTCATGTGCATTTTAATGTAGGCATGTTTTTATTTCTCTCGGGTAAATACTTAGGAGCAAAGTTTTTTGGTTTGTAGGATTAGTATATATAATGTCAGACTTCTCTGAAGTGGTTGTTCCATTTTACATTTCTGTCACCAGTGTGTGAGAGTTGGAGTTATTTCACATTTTTGTCAATGCTTGGTATTGTTACTTTTTAATACAGCCATTTTAATGTGCATAGTGGCATTTCCCTGTGCTTTTCATTTGCATTGCCTTGATAAATAGTGATGTTACGCATCTTTCACTTACTTGCCATTTGTGTATCTTATTTTGTGAAGCATCTGTTTAAATCGTTTGCCCACTTCGTAGGTTGTCTTATTTTTGAGTTATAAAGATTTTTTATTGATTGGATATTTTCCCGCAATCTGTACCCTCCCCCCCCCGTTTGTGGCTTTTTAGAAGTTTTTCATTTTGATAAAGCCCAGCTTACCAGTTTTAATCTTTTTTAAGAAATCTTTGCAGACCCAAGAGTATCAGAGATTTTTCCTCTTGTTTTCTAAATGCTTTAGCTTTATGTTAGGTATATGATCTATTTGGAATACATTTTTGTGTATAGTGTTTTAAGGGTCAAAATTTATATTATTCCATTTGAACATTCCATTTTTTCAGCACCATTTGTTGAAAAGACTATCTTTTCTCCATTGAATTACCTTGGCACCTTTTAAGACATCCAATTGATTATTTGTCTTTGTGTGTGTCGGGGGTGGTTTCTACCTATGGGTCCTTTTTCCTGTCCCATTGATCTGTTTAGCTTCTCTACATTGTCTTTATTCCCATATCTTTGTTAATAAGTCTTTAAATGAAATTGTATCAATTCTCCAACTTTGTTCTCTTGTCCAGAACTGTTTTGGCCCTTGCATGTCTTTTGCATTTCCACATACATTTTAGAATGAACTTGTCGGTTTCTAAAAAAAAAACCAAAGGCTGCCTTCATAATTGCTTTTAGGATTTTATTTATTCTATATGTCTGGGGAAAGTTGACATCTTAATAATACTGACTTTCTGATCCATGAATGTGCTCTATCTCACCATTTAATTAGGTCTTTAATTTCTCTCAGCAGCGTTTTGTATTGCCTGAGTACAGACATTGTTTTGTTAGATTCATCCCGAAGTCTGTCTTGATTTGGATGCTATTATAAGTAGTATTATTTATGTAATTTCACTTTCAGTAGTTCTTTGTTAATCTATAGCAATACAGTTGATCCTTGTGTATTGACCTTGTTTCCTGTAACCTTGATAAACATCGTTTTGGTAGCTTTTTGATTCCATAAAATTTTCTAATTGTATATGATCATGTCTCCTGCACTTGCTTCTTTCTTTTCAATTTTTATTCTTTTTACGTTTTTTTTTTTTTTTTTTTTTTTTGCCTTTACTGCATTCTCACTACAATGCTGAAGAGAACTGGTGACAAAAGACCATCCTTGCCTTACTCTCAGTCTTAGGGGACAGCATTGAGTCATTTCCCATGTTTCATGTCAGCTCTGGGTTTCTCAGGTATAGAATGTTGTTTTTTATTCAAGTTTGCTGAGAGTTTTATGAATAAATGTTGATTTTTGTCATTTGGCCTTTTAAGCACAAAATCTAATCATATGATTCCTTTTTAAATTTTTCTGCTATGATTAATTACATTGACATATTTTCAAATGTTTAAACAACCTTGTATTTTCTGGAATAAAATCCACCTGGTTGTGGTCCATCATTTATATGTTGCTGAGTTTGATTTGCAGATTAAGTGTTAAAGATGGTTGTGTCAATATTCACAAAAAAATGATGTCTGTATGATGTGTACTGACCACCCCTCTTTTGTTTTTACATTGATAAAATTTGTTTTCTCTTTCTTCATCGGTTTGGGGGAAATTTGTCAGTTTCATTGATTATGCTTTTCAAAAGAATGAGTTTTTGGTTTCATTGATTTTCTCTATTTGTCCTTTTTTTATTTCATTGACTCATGTTCACTTTGCTACTATTTTTATGTTTCCATTCACTATGGGGTTAGTTCTTTTTATAACTTCTTAAAATGAAAGCTGGGTTTTCACTGGTTTTGATACTATTTCCATTTTAATTATAAACTTTTAAAGTTCTGAATTTCACTACAGCATCTAGAAATTCTGGAAAGTTATGTGTTCATTTTCATTTAGTTAAAAATATTTTCTAATTTACGTTAAGGTTTCTCCACCCACCCCTGCCATGGGTTATTTAGAAAACTGTTGTGTGATTTCTAAATGTTTGGGATTTTTTTTCAGATACTTTTCTATTCATTTCTAACTTGTTTGTGTTCAGAGAATATAATCTTTATGATTTTCTGTAAGTTTTTCTTGGTGAATGTTCCATGTGAACTTGAAAAGATTATGTATTCCGCTGTCACTGGGTGAGATATTCCCAAATGTCATTTGGTTGATAATGTTTTGCAAATTATACATATCTATGCTTAATTTCCCTTTCAGTTGTTTTATCAATTCCTGAGACAGATACGAAGTTTCCAGGTGTAGTTGTGACCCTGTGTTTTTCTATTGTCGGTTTGTCATACAACTTGAAGCTCTCTTATTTTAGGTACAGTTACATTAAGATTGTTACGTCTTCTTTCTCATTGTGTAATTTTCCTGTTTATTCCTGGCAAAATTCTTTGTCCTGAAATGTGGTTTTTTTGATATTATTATAATCATTTCAGCTTCTTATGATTAGTGTTTGCATGGTATATATCTAATTCCATCTTTCTTTAGTCTGTATTTGTTATTTAATTTCAAGTGATTTTTTTCTGTAAGGTAGAGTTGACTCTTGCTTTCTTATCCTGCCTGATAATCGCTGCCTTCTATCTTAATGTTTTTATTTGGAGTAAGTTCTGAGGTGAACATCTACCATCTTGCTATTTTCTTAAATTGAAATTTTTATGAGAGAAATGTAGATTCACATGCAGTTTTAAGAAACAATACATAAAAGTCCAGGGAACACTTTACTCAATTTTCGCTAATGGTAACATTTTGCAAAACTGTTGTATAAATATCACATCCAGGATATTGACATTGATCACAGGCGTTAGGAACATTTCTCGTTTTTCTTCTTTTCATTTGTTTGCATGTATATATTTAGTACAGTACAACTTCATCACTTGTGTAGCTTGTGTGTATCTGTCACTATAGTCAAAATACTGTATAGTTCCATCATCATAAGGACCTCTCGTGTTGCCCTTTTATAACCATACCCTCTTTACCCCTATGTGCTCTACCACTGTCAGTTCAGACATGTTACATAGATATGTATGTATGTCACCTTTGGGATTAGTTTCTATCCCTAGACATAACACCTTGAGTATTCATCCAAGTTATTGTATCAATGGTTCATTCCTTTTTGTTGCTGAATAGTATTCTGTGTTTTATATATATATATATATATATATATATATATATATAAAATAAATAGTTTGTTTAACCATTCATTGATAGATCTGGGGTTTTTGCAATTTTTGGCTATTGCAAATAAGCTGCTATGAATGCATCGTTTTGTATTCCCACCAATAATGTATAAGTCATCTAGTTTCTCTGCATCCTTACCATCGTTTGTGTTAGGACTATTTTTTGTTTTAACAGTTCTGAGAGGGGTGGCTTAGTCAGTTAAGTGTCTGCCTTTGGCTCAGGTTGTGATCCCCGGGTCCTGGGATCAAGTCTTGCATCAGGCTCCCTGCTCAGTGGAGAGTCTGCTTCTCCCTCTTCCTCTGCCCCCCCTGCTTTGTGCTTCATCGCTCTCTCGCTCTCTCTCTCTCTCTCAAATAAATAAAATCTTTAAAAAATTCTGATGGGGCACCTGGGTGGCTCAGTTGGTTAAGCGTCTGCCTTCGGTTCAGGTCATGATTCCAGGGTCCTGGGATCAAGCCCCAGATCGGGCTCCCTGCTCAGTGGGGAGTCTGCTTCTCTGTCTCCCTTTGCCTCTCCACCTGCTTCTTATGTGTTCTCTCTCTCCCCCAGCCCCCATCTCAAATAAATAAATAAAATCTTTAAAAAAAAATTCTGATAGGTATGTAGTGATAGCTTGCTGTCATTTTATTTTTTTTTAATTTATTTTTTTTTAAGATTTTATTTATTTGTCATAGAGAGGGCACAAGCAGGAGGAGTGGCAGGCAGAGGGAGAAGCAGGCTCCCTGTTGAGCAAGGAGCCCAATGCGGGACTCGGTATCAGGACCCTGGGAACATGACCTCAGCTGAAGGCAGATGTTTAACCAACTGAGCCGCTCAGGTGTCCCCCTTGCTGTAATTTTAATTTGCATTTCCCTAATGGTGTTTAAAATGTTTT